TTTTGGTAAATACTAATTAGAAAGTAGAGAAAATATAAATATAATCTTTTTAACTGAAATTTCATGAGGGATTAAATAGAAAATTGGAAGTGCAATTTCATAAGAAAATAAACAGAAAGAAGAAGAAATATACTATTGTAATACAATCTAAACATTACATAAAATGTCTGTGATATAATCTTTTTACCTGCAATTTGAAAAAATAGAGCTATATAAATTTCTTAATGACAGGTTTTAAATCTCTTGGACAAACAGGAGCAGTGTCGGATCGAGACTTCCAGTGCCTACCGGTCAGAACGGAGAAGGCCCACCTATCAATATTTTTTCATGGGCCGATTTCTTGAAAAGCAAAAAAGGCCTTCTTTGCACATTAATGCTTTTTTTCAAGGGTTATTTCGCATTTCTTATTCTGAAGGGCACACAGACTGAGGTCCACTAATTTAGGCTCACTGAATGAGGCCCACTGATTGAGGCACAGTGTCCGAACGAGGACCCACTGCCCAAACGAGGGCCCACTGCCTGAAAGAGGGCCCACAGCTTGAACGAAGGCCTACCGGTCTTTTGATTGTAGACGAACGGCCCAATCCGACACTGGACAGGACTAATAATTGATAAATTAGGTGAAATTGTAAATAACCATTATTTTCATTTTTCTTAAAAATAAATATAAACTGTCACTGTCACTGACACTCATATTACAGTTCATCAAATTTCTAGAGGCTTTCGACGGCTAGACAGAGAAAACACTACTGAGAGGCATCGGTTGACGGGGCCGACGGATTTACCCAATGAAAGTACACTCTGCGCATCAAGTATTTCACTATTTTATTCAGACGTAAATGTCAGATGTAAATTTCGCTAAAACATTTCTTTTAGTTTCGTTTGTGTTTTTTGCTCATTACAGTTTAATAGAACCTAAGTATGGAGTTTAATAGCAAATTAAGAGGCTGCGTGATTAACAGTCAATCTCGCGAAATAATAGCCAATGTTATAGAGTTTATGAGAAGAGAAGGAAACTTTAATTCACCTTCAATACCATTTAAAAATGTAAATGATCGTGTTGCTGTAGCCACAGGAGTATCTAAAAACACTGTCGTCCGCATTTCTGGAGAGAAAAAAAGAATCGATAACCGTGAGATATCGGAATTTTCATCACCAAGAAAAACCATTAAAAAACCAAAAACAGTTAATGATATAGATGAAGCTGACAAAGGTATTTTAAAAAGAATTATTCTGTTCATGTTAATCTCGGAAAATATTGTTCCAACATTAAAAACAATTCTGACTAAATTTAGAGAAGCTACAGGGTACAAAGGAAGCTATGAAAGTTTAAGAAAAATAATAAAGTCACTAGGATTTCGTTGGCGGAAAACAAAAACAAACAGAAAAATATTAATGGAAAGGTTTGATATTCAAAAGCTATGTTTAGGCTATCTGATTCGTTTAAAAAGTTATCGAGCAGAGGGCCGTCCAATTGTCTACTTAGATGAAACATACATTCATGCCTCCCACACACACCAGAAAGCTTGGAGTGATAATTCAAATGAGGGATTAAAGAAATCAATTAATAAAGGTGATAGACTATTTATTGTCCATGCAGGAGGTGAAATGGGCTTTATTCCGAATGCCCGGTTAATTTTCAAATCTGGAACCAAAAGTGGAGACTACCACGATGAAATGAATTTTAATAATTTTTCTAAATGGTTGAAAGAAAAGCTGTTTCCGAACCTCCCTCCAAGAAGCGTCATTATTGTTGATAATGCTCCTTACCATAATGTCCAGGTAAATAAAGCACCAACGTCAACTTCTAAAAAAGCTGACATGCAGGATTGGTTAAGGAATCATAATATTGCTTACAAAGAGGATATGCTCAAAACGCAATTATACAGTTTAGTGCTATTGCATAAGTCACGATTTAAGAGGTATGCAATTGAAGAAATGATAAATGAACATGGTTTTAATTGTTTGCGTTTGCCACCGTATCATCCCGATCTTAATCCGATCGAATTAGTGTGGGCATCATTGAATCAATATGTAGCTAGTAACAACACTACATTTAAGAGGCAAGACGTACAACTGTTGTGTGAAGAATTTTTTGATACGTTTTCTAAAGAGGAGTGGCAATCTCGTTGTAATAATGCTAAAATGTGGGAATCTAAATTTTATGACAGAGAAGTTACTTTGGATGAGGCAACTGATAGATTTATAATTAACTTAAACAGTGACAGTGAGACTGATTTTGAATCTGATATGGAAACTGAAGAAAGTTTTTCGGAAGACCATTAAAATTATATCTGTACCTAAGATCAAAAAAGTATTATCTATTTTTACAACGAAGATGCACAAGAATCAAATTTTATTTTTTTATTATTAGATAGCTATTTTTGTTTCTGAGTTGTGTTCATTTACAGGCTCAATTTTTTTTCTTTTTGATTTTATATGGGGTTTCAAGTTGTTTTTGACTTATTTCGACGTAAATCACAACAACACACTTTTTTAATAAAGCAAACAAGTGTTAAGAGGTATATGTACGTGTAAAATACAATTACAAAAAATTGATATGAAACCCATGAAACCACCAACAAAAATGTAAAGCTAGCTTCCGTACTAGAACATGGTGTCATTCGTCGAGATAATTTATCGTTTTGTTTAATAGATCAAGAAATGTAAATATTCCCCTGTTATTTTTTATAAAATTATAAGAGAAATACATTTTTTTCTAAATAGTATAGTTTATTATTTTGTAGAAAAACAAAATTTCGAAAATTTTAGTAATGTTTCAGAAACAACCGTTATTAATAATAGGTACCATTTTCCTTAATAAGGTAGAAATAAAATATAAACTATTTCCACGATTTACAAAGGCCTACAAAAAAATTATAGGTATTTTCCGCTATCCTATAAAATTTATATTTTCTGACTCAATTTCAAAAGGTTGAAGGAATTCCAAAATACCGTTTATGGCATAATAATTATTTTCAATTCTACATACTATCTTTAGCTGCTTTTAAAAACGTTCTAAGAAAGTCCAATCAGACCAATTTAATCCCTAAACTATTCCACACTTTTAAAATTTAATTACCTAAAAATATTAAAAACTATTTAAAATAACTTGTTTAGCAGACTGTACAATAGCTATCTTAGTCACACGTAGCGCGTTCTCTGTCTGGGCGTCGAACACCTCTAGAAATTTGATGAACTGTATAACATCATATTTAAAAAGGCATGCGACATTACAATGTCGACTGGTTGTATACCACTCGACTTTATGTCTAACAACAAATGTCGAATTCGCCATTCCACACATACTTTGATTACTATACGAGGCAAGAGAGAGGTTCGACACGCCCAACATAGGGCGCGGCCATTTTGAACCCTGTGACACAGTTTACAGCTAAAGAATCAGATCGCTCACTCTGCGCGGCACTTTTGATCTCAATGTTTCAGTTTATACACTGTGCAACTCGGATAATACAATATATGACTATAATAAAACAGCAGTCTTCTGCGTATCCTGAATTTGTATCCCTGGAGTGGATGTTATTTTGGAACTTTCAACTGGTCCGAGTGAGCTAACTTAATTCTTCAAAAATAATATTCACTGACACTGACAGCAGCAAGCAAAATATCAGATGCATTTAATCATCCGCTTCTGCTTTCGGAATTGTCGGTTTAGTCGTTTTAACCTGTCATCAGATTAAAACAAGAAAACCGACAATTCCGAAGCAGAAGCGGATGATTAAAACGCACCTATTAAAAATATTGCGCCAAGATGTAGGCAACACGTAATAAGGGTTCAAAATGGCGGAGTTTTCTATCTCCTTTTAAAAGGCACTCAGAAAGCTGCGCAGTGTGACCATTCTCCGTATAGTAAAAGAAAATCAAAGTATGTGCCATTCCAGAATACGTTTTTGCATTGTTATTCGACATTTCATCAATGTCGCGTGTGACATTTAGAAATAGACATTCGAAAATAGGGCCCCAGGTAGTCAAAATTAAATTATTTTTATTTCCTAATACTTCTATAAGATTTACAACCTTAATATATGAACATGAATTTTAAAATCAAATAACTACTTCTTCAATCCTACAAGTCTTATAATATTTTTATAATAATAAATTGTCTAGACTTAGGTACTTAATACCTACTTACGGAAAGTGAAATCATTTTAATTTAATCCCAGTATTTTTTAAATTTGTTTCTTATATTTCTTATATTGTAAAACAATGAAAATGAGAGCAATTTGTTTTTTTATCTTATGAAGTTAATTTTTTTTTTAAATTAATATGAGAGGGAAATATTTATTTACACAGGTGTCAACGATATACGCCATCAAATACTATGGGATTTAAATCCGAATCGCCGAATCCAAAGTCCCAAGCTCTGCCCATTCATTTATTAATGGTATTAATTTATATACATCATTTTCATAAATCTAATTATTTCGTTTTCAGCTAAAGCAAAAATCGGTTATTTAATTATAGGTGATTATAAATTTTCTCCTTATTTTAAAAAATGAAATTTATCTTTTTTTGAAAAATAAATAATTATATAATTACTTACTGCTTTGTAATTACCATTTAAATAAAATAAATATCCAGATTTTACGCTAAGAACTCCTTGAGTAGCAAATAACAAATTCAACGGATCAATAATTCATTTGTACGAGTAGATTATTATTACCAAATATTTGACTACAGGCACTACTGGTTAGGCAGTTCCGCAGTACATAATTCGACCGCAAATTCTTTGGAGACTCTGTCCTTAAGAAGTAGTCTTTAATAAAAAATAAATGTGGGTGGTACTGATTTTCGGAATTTTATTTTCGTTTATGAAAATGGCCAAATTCGAGCAATTGAATACCCTCTACGAATTATGTAACTAGTTGCGTAACGTAGTTCTTTTTGACACTCTCTACGATTATAAAAAATGTCCATTTATATGTCAAAATTGGAAAAAGGATTAAAAAAATTATTAAAATATTTTTATATTGTTACAGATTTGTTACGCCGTCTGCCACATGATGGGCATGTCCTCAGCATGTTCCAACCCCATCCTCTACGGCTGCCTGAACGAAAACTTCTGGAAGGAATTCAAAGATATCCTTTGCATCGAATCAAGCAGCGAAAATCAAAGACCTTCGGTGAAAAAAACTTCTTTTAGAAAAAGTTCGCAAAAGTCTCAGAACAGGGGAGATAAACCCGATTTGGTTGCGGGCGCCAGGGGTTTAGATTACCAACTTTGTAACACCGTAAGCACCGACATGACAGTTTTAACGAAATGCTAGCCCTTAAGGACATTCGCCGTGAGAGGCGAAGGTAGAGCGACGATAAACAGGGTGGAACATTTATTATAAAATATAGTGATAGTGATGATAAAATATGTGATGCGATAAAACGATAACGAAAGTTTTTAGGAAAGTTTTGATTGGTAATAACTTTGGAATATATTTATTGGTAACTTAGATATTTTTCTACCTTTCTATCTAAAGGAATACTGTATTAAATTTAAGTTTCGAGAGACAGCAGAATTTTTTTTTCAATTCATTTACTTTTAATTTTAGTTTGATATTATCGTGTATCTAAATAGTAATAATATTGCTTCTGTTTAATTAGCAGTACTCAAGAAGGAGACAAACTCGTTCCTATACTAAAAAATTGTCTGTAGTCTAATTTTTTTCAATCAGAAAAGTCCTGGAAAAATACGTTTGTATGGAAAGTATTATATTTCAAATATTAGGAATTAATTAATAACAGATAATTTTAGATTTATTAGTACTCTTTCATTAAATCAAAGTAGCCTGATAAATTTTGATAGTGGTAAATAATTTGACGTTTACGTCCATAGAATTCAGTCTAGGCTCCATATGGGATATAAGTAAACGACCGTAATGACGTACCCCAACTTACCTACTATACAGCTCCACAACTCTCTTGGCGGGAAAGGTTGGCGCCGATCTAGTCTCGCAAGAGCTTATGCCTTGCCTCTTGGGGTAAAAAACTGCTTAGACTAGTCCCGTCCGCATAGAACACACTATTTTTAAAGAAAACAAAACAAATTCCTGTCCCATCACATTACCCATACTTTATTAGGCATTTTAGTAAGATTGACCTTTCGGGTTGGGTAATGTACAAAAGTAAGCCTATGCTTTAAAGGGAGGGATGTTCATGCGGACCGGACTAGTCGTTAATTTCGACTTCCTTACAGGTAAGTCGTTTAATCTTATATTATGCTTTCTAGTCCGGTCCGCATAGAACACACTATTTTTAAAGAAAAAACAAATTCCTGTCCATCACATTACCCATACTTTATTAGGCGTTTGAGTGAGCGTGACCTTTCGGGTTGGGTAATGTACAAAAGTAAGCCTATGCTTTAAAGGGAAGGATGTTCTATGCGGACCGGACTAGTCGTTAATTACGACTTCCTTACAGGTAAGTCGTTTAATCTTAAATTTTGCTTCCTAGTCCGGTCCTTATGGAACACACATGTAGATGTTTTAAGCACGGGAGCGATATTCTTCGATAAAGTAAAGTCATTATAATGATAATGATAAGTAACTTTAAGAAATAATATTTTATCAAAATTCCTATACAATTCCATTAGAAATAATACAAGAAAGAGAACAAAATAAAATATTATGTTTTCATTATTTTAATTATTATCTAATACTATATCAAAATATGAATAGGTGTATTTATATGACATTAGGCTTATCTCTAAAACTAAACAAACTTTAGATTTCTAACTTGTAAATCAGGAGATAATATTTCTAGTTAGTTCTTTGTCATTGATAAGCGGCCTATTATAAACTATAAAATTCCTTAGAAAACTTTAACTCTAATCGTTTCTATGTTAACTCTAGCTGTGAATGCCCCTGAAGAAGCGGCATGCCTTAAATACTATAGGCTTAAGAAATATTCGTATCAGTGCCTTCTTTATCCACCTTGAACCAGTCTGATAGGATACTGCGATGTGTAATTAGTAACTTCAGCCATTTTCCATGCATCAGGTATATATTTAAGGCGAAATGCTGCATTTATGAGGTATGTCAATTTAACAATGGCGTTCCGTGGTAGTTTCTTTAATATTTCTCCAGTAATAAGGTCATATCCTGGAATATCAACTCAAAGAACGTCCCAGGTTCTTTGAATTGATGTTGGTCTGAATTTCTTTCGTAACTTCATTGCGAGTAACAAGCCTAATTTCAAATTGTTCCATATTATAGATCGTCTAGTTAGAAGTGTCTTGATTTTTATCTAATTGAAACGTCTATAGGAGGTCAGCGAAAATATCAGCTTCCTGTTGATTGTCTCTTGCTCATTTATTATCTACATGTTTCTCCATGCAGCTTGTTGGATTTTAACGATAAACCTTTTCAGTTCTTTATCTAGCTGATTTTTTATTTTTAGTGTTATAGTTAGTTGAATAGTATTTGTTAAGTCCTCTTAAAAACCTCCTCAATTAGTTTTCCGATATGCTAGGGTCGGTTTTGCTCCTTCTTGAATAACATTACCACTTAGAGTTCGGACTACTGCAGAATGGTCTGGATCCATATCAAAGTTTTTTCTACTTATGTATAGTTTGGTGAAATTTTCCTCAGTATAAAGAAATTTAAAAGGCCTGGAATGTTATTTAGATCGGTGGGCCAATAGGTGGGTTTTTCAGAAGATTGGTATGTACAAATAAGTTCTGATGCAGCCCGGTGCAAGTCTTTTCCTTTGACTGTGGTTAATCTTGTACCCCAGTTGATGTTCTTGTAGTTGTAATATCCACCGGTTATAAATTTGTTACCTAGTTTTTTGAGTACATTGAGTTAATTCTCTTTTTTCTGGTTGTATCTTGGTGAGCAATAGATTGCAGCTGTTAGGTTTGTTCGTAGAGCAATCCACAACCATTTCCAACTGAACAGCTCATGCGCATTAATTATTTTGCGTTCGGAGAAGAATAACTGATAAAAGTTGAAGGTGGTAGCCATGTGTGAGTTATAAGTTCAGAAAAGGTAAATCAAACGAGGGTGGTCCTTAGGATCTCACAAGAGTATTTTTATTACGACCGGTTTCGAGGATCAGATCCTCATCATCAGGTAAGGTCTAAAATAGAGAGGAAAAACGAATGAGCTCATAACTAATAAAGTGGGTTTAAACATTTTAATATGAAAGTTGTCAAATATCAAGAACTCACCCGTAATTACTCATCTATTTAAGACTAAGTTAAGAGAATTATCCCAGGGTCGGTGTAAAAACAAGTATGCGAGTATTTTTTAAAATACATAAAAAAAATAGTTGCAACAAAAAGTTGATGTCAAAACACATAAACAAAAGTAGGTCTAAAACTATTAATTAAAATTATTAAAATATTTCACGAACGGACGAACAATTAAGACAAACAAATTTAAAAACTTTTTAAACCCTACAAGCACTAAAATGGGTTCTTGGACCAGTGTTTATAATTCTACAGGAATTAAATTTTATTTAGATTAAATATACTGATTAACGCCCTCTAGGTATAAATAGACGAATTAACCATTCTAATATTTAAGATAACAGTTTAGAGGTTGTCAAATTTAAATATTTTGACCATCGGCTAATCGATGGCGTTGGCGAAAAAATAAATGTTTCTTAATAATAATATAGGTTTATAAAATGAATTGTTTCAATTTGTACGTAATAATAAACAAAATGAAATAAATAAATTATTAATGTTAAAAGTAGAGTTGGAAAATAATTTTAGATGTACCAATATTCAAATTAAGAAGTTGGTAACAATCAACGGAAAAAGGAAATGGTGTTAAAATGAAAAGAAGAAAAAACTATTGATTTGGTTAGTTGTTTTTTGAAGTAATGTGCTGAAATGAAAATGGAAATGGAGACAGAATAAAAATATAAGATAAGTAACTAATAATTAAAGTCAATAAATTTCATAGGGAAATTTTAAAGTAAAAGGGGGGGGGGGGTAATTTAAAGGAAACGTAGATTTTTAAAAAAGAAATGAGAACGTGAGTGTGGATTCGGAAAAAACTTGTGAGTTTAGTGATAATGCATTGGTACTTTTTCTTAATCTAAATATTTCTAGGTTCTCCAAATTGTTCAATATCAACTTGTGGCAAATGTGGAGTACCCTAAAGCCATCCCCTAAGTCCGTCCGTCCGTTCGTGAAATATTTTAATAATTTTAATTAATAGTTTTAGACCTACTTTTGTTTATGTGTTTTGACATCAACTTTTTGTTGCAACTATTGTTTTTTATGTATTTTAAAAAATACTCGCATACTTGTTTTTACACCGACCCTGGGATAATTCTCTTAACTTAGTCTTAAATAGATGAGTAATTACGGGTGAGTTCTTGATATTTGACAACTTTCATATTAAAATGTTTAAACCCACTTTATTAGTTATGAGCTCATTCGTTTTTCCTCTCTATTTTAGACCTTACCTGATGATGAGGATCTGATCCTCGAAACCGGTCGTAATAAAAATACTCTTGTGAGATCCTAAGGACCACCCTTGTTTGATTAACCTTTTCTGGAATAACTGATAGTTTTCAATTATTAATTTGGCGTTCGTAGAAACAAATTAAGTGATTGCCAACTGATTGAAAACGGTTGGAAAAATCCCTGACCATTCTCCGGATTTTAAATCCGGGCCATGCCCACGTGAATTATTTTTAATAAACTACAATTTGACATTTGTTTGGCTTGAAATTTTTGTCTGTTTATGTGTTATCATTCGCCCATACCCTTGTTGATTTGATTAGTTGTTTTTATAAGTGTAATTAGTACAGATACATAAAATTATTCAATAACATGACCATAAAGACATACCATCCATCCACGATCCTGATAAAATATCAGCCTTTATCTTCAAAACAGCTAATAAAAGTAAAATATATTGATAAAATTGGAAATGAGGTGGAATTCACAATTTCTTCTTTTTTTTGTCCGTTTACTAAATTTGTATTTAATTCACGAGAAGCATCCACAACTGTAAAAAAATGCATTCGCAGAGCTTAAAATGGCAATAAATCCCAAACCGTTGACACTCGCGTATGCGCATCATAAAAGAATCACTATACGTTTGAAACTGTCTCTACGAACAAACCTATTGTAATTTGGTCCACCTTAGTATTAATGTTGCTAAAGGTAACTTGATTTTCTGGTTCTTGGATGCCTGGTTCCTCATAGTGGGAACTGTTTTTTTAATAATTAACGCACTTCCTCCTCTTGCTGTATTTGATGGATGGATAGTGTGATAAAAGTTGTATCCTCTGAATTTATTGTATGACTCCGTTGTAAGGTGGGTCTCAGAAATCAGTCATTTTTCTATTTTTTGTTCGTGCAAGAAAACTTTGATATCAGTTTGTTTTTGGAGAATCCATTGGCATTCCAAGTGGCTATTCTAATATCTCTTTTGCCAATTGGTGGTTTTGTTATATATTTAGGGTTTATTTAATTCTTCTAGCTTCTGGAGCCTGTCAGAGAGTAAATCTATTCTGGTTATTAGGGATAATAAGAATTGAGTGGTATTTTCTGCTAGGCTGGCTGACTATGCAGTATGCTGTGCAAATTGTGGCGAGGGATTCATGGCTGGTTGTGACCTTTGAATTGGTGCTCCTGTGAGTTTGTTACCTGAGAAAATGTTATTTCATTTCTGATAGTAGGAAAAGCATTTATGGGTCATTATTTTAGGTTTAGTGGTATTATCCTTCTTTATCTAAAAGGTTTTAGCTACCTCATATC